TTAGAGTTATTTGCTTTTCTTTTGAATCTTGTCACATCAACAGCACCCTTACCACAAAGTGCAATGTGTGCTCACTGTACCACGGCAGGAGTATGACCCTGATTCCAATCCAGGGTGTGGGTTTTTTCCCCACACCAAGGAATCCGCTGGCACAATTGTCAGTAGCAATTATCCCACCGTCTACCTGGAGAGAGGTGAAGGGTTCAGTCCTGTAAGACTGCTCACTCTACCTCCAACTAGTTCAGACCTCAATCTCAAGTCTGGGCTGTCACTTGTGTCTCTAAACCACTGGCTGCAGATCACAGGTTCCCCCAGGATCCCCTCCTTGGGTTGATTATTTTGTTAGGGTGGTTCACAGAACTCAGAGAAACATTTTACTCATTAAATCACCGGTTTATTATAAGAGGATAGAAGTCCAAAACAGTTACATGGAAGAGATGTATATGGCGTGGTATGGGAAAGAGCACAGAGCTTCTGTGCCTTCTCTGGATGTACCACTCCCCCCAGGTCTCCACATGTTCATCCACCTGGAAGCCCTGCAAACCCTGTCCTTGAGGGTTTTTATGGAGGCTACATTTCATAGGTGTGGTTGATTAAATCATTGGCCTTTAGTGATTGAACTTAAGCTCCTCCCCCCTCTCCCCTCCCGGGAGGTGGGGTTGGGTGTGGGACTGAAAAGTTCTAACCCCCTCATCCCAAGGTTGGCTCATCTGGCAACCACCCTCCATGTTTAGTTTCCAAAAGTCACCTCATTAACATCACAAAAGAATCTCGAAACCTCTCCACACCTTGGAACTTCCAAGGATTTGGGGAGCTCTGTGCCAGGAATGGGATGAAAATATGTTTCTTATTATAAATCGCTGTATCACACGAGGAAAAGCCGGTCACCATGGAGACAGTGTTTTTAAAACCAATGTGTTATGAGCACACCTGATAAGCCGGGCTGGCTTCATCACTGGGAAATCTGTGCAGCACACAAGGTTTCATGTTCCAAATGACCTCACGCTTGGTTTCATGCTTTTCTGTTACCATCTTGATAGTCTGAATAATTTTATCCCTGAACTTGGGTCTTGTAAGCGAAGGCCCCTGGGGCAATGGGACAAGTGTCTGAGCAGAGGAGTATGGAAATATGTCTGTATGTCCATGACCGAGTAAGTAGAGTTTCTGACAACCCCGAGAGGCCAGGCTTTCCTTCAAGTAGAATTTGTTTCAGATGCAGAAAGAAGGCAGCGGTGTTCTAAGAAACATGAACTTCCAAGGAAACTTATCGCATATTGTTATATCCCTGTATGCTGAAAACAATGCTATAGAAAGATAGGGCAACTCCCTGCTTCTTTTCCTGTCTCTTTGTTAATCATCAGTATGCCAATGGCATGCATTGGTAGAATGTGAGCATACAGTAAAAACTTGGTTTGCGAGCATAATTTGTTCTGGAGACACACTTGTAATCCAAAGCACTTGTATATCTGAGGGGATTTCAAGAACCGTTGGCTCGGTTGTGATCATGTGACATTTGGCGTCACGCAGGACTCATGTTGCAAGACATCGCTCAGCTTATCAAGTTAAAATTTATTAGACATGTTGCCTTGTCTTGCGGAACACTCGCAGAACAAGTTACTCACAATCCAAGGTTTTACTGTTTAAAGAAGTGAAAGAAAACGAGTTGAGTTGGTTTGGTGCAGTGTTTGCACTGTTTTGGTAAGAACAAAATACACACATATTTGTAGGGGCTAACAAAAGGCAGCCTGCCCCAAAATATGCTACTTTGGCATACAGACTATTTTTTTTTTTTTTTTTTTTAAATTTTTTTTTTCAACGTTTATTTATTTTTGGGACAGAGAGAGACAGAGCATGAACGGGGGAGGGGCAGAGAGAGAGGGAGACACAGAATCGGAAACAGGCTCCAGGCTCCGAGCCATCAGCCCAGAGCCCGATGCGGGGCTCGAACTCACAGACCGCGAGATCGTGACCTGGCTGAAGTCGGACGCTTAACCGACTGCGCCACCCAGGCGCCCCCATACAGACTATTTTAAATAAAAGCTACTTAAGAAAGCCTGTACAAGAAGGACATTCGAACCCTCCTCTCTGTCCCTCTGAAAGCAGGAAATAAATCTCCTATGTGAAACGTACCCTCTCTGTACCAAGAGGTAAAGAGACATCCTTATTACCAGAGATGGGAAATTTAGAGCCAAGAAAGTCGTGTAAACAACTCGTTACTTTTTACTGATTTACCACCTTAGCCCTAATTCTGCTTAGAATTCCTTACTAATTGAAGCTCCCAAAGTTAAGTTTCCTTTGTCCTGTCTACTGCTCACAGATTTATTTTCTCTTTGTCCAAGAAGTATAAAAACTGCCTGCCTTGGTCATTTCTTTGGGTCTCACTTTCATTATTGGGTCTCCGTGAGCATGTAGGAAGACTTTGTTGGGTTTTTTCTCCTGTTAATCTGACTCACGTAAATTAATTCTTAGTCTAGTTGGAAGACCTTGAAAAGTCAAGGAAGAATTTTTTCCTTTCTTTCACATGTATCAGCTATGAAATATAAATTGTGTTATTTTGGAGATTCTGTACACAAGTTAAATGTTCTTATATTCGAGTTTAAAATGGGTATTTCCTGGGGCGCCTGGGTGGCGCAGTCGGTTAAGCGTCCGACTTCAACCAGGTCACGATCTCGCGGTCCGTGAGTTCGAGCCCCGCGTCGGGCTCTGGGCTGATGGCTCAGAGCCTGGAGCCTGTTTCCGATTCTGTGTCTCCCTCTCTCTCTGCCCCTCCCCCGTTCATGCTCTGTCTCTCTCTGTCCCAAAAATAAATAAACGTTGAAAAAAAAAATTAAAAAAAAATAAAATAAAATGGGTATTTCCCAACATAAAAATGAATGGCAAAATTTATGCCAATAACTCAAAATTTTAATTTTTATTTACTGCGAATGACATTAAACAACAAGTAAGAAAAACATGACAAGTAGAGTGTATGACTGCAGAAGACAGGAAAACAACTTTATATTTTAGTGCCTTGAATGACACTTTTCCCCCCTGATTTTTGAACAAGAAGACTCCACATTTTCATCCTGCACTTACACCTGCAAATTATGCACCTGGCCCTGTATGCTGTGTATTTGGAAGAGTATTTGAACTCCCCTGTGACTGCTGTGTTGTTGGGGAGAATTCCTGCCTTCACCGGAACTTCTCATCAGAATCAGACCACATATTACAGAAATAGGAGAGCCACTCTCCTTTTAGAGAATGTAACATCTATTAAGACTGCTTACTATACATTTTGATCCAGAAACATAGAAGGACACAGTAACTGTAATGAATAATGGGGTTTTGCAGTGATGGTGGAATTCAGAGCTGATGGCCAAGAAAGAATTCTTGAAGACATCTTAGGTGCAAAAAGGTGATTTTATTAAAGCACGGGGACAGGACCTGTGGACAGAAAGAGCTGCACTGGGGTTGTGAAGAGTGACTGGTTATATATACTATGGAGCTTGGGGACATAAAGTCAAGTTTCTTAAAGGGATTTCTATATGCTAAAGAAGAGTCACAGAGTCCTGGAGGCCTAGCTATTGTCAGGCTAAGATTGTTTTTCCCTCTAGCAAAGCATTATCATTAAGACAGTAGAAAGTTCCTGGAGATTAGGCTATTGATAAGATTACCTTTTTCTTATAATTTACTAAGATATTTGTAAACTGATGGAGACTCTACCAGTTTAGCCATTTGTTTTCTGTCCTTTCCTTTGTTCTCAGGCAGCCAGAAGTACCCGAGGAACGTCACACATATCCCAGCTGGGGGTGGGGGGTGTGGTAGTTTATACTTTGCCCTCAGCCTGCCTTATGCTCCCTCATCAATGTTCATCAACCTCGTGAGATTTTAAATTCTAGACCAGGTCTTGGTGTGTTGAATCTGGTCTGCCTCCTGGTTTTGTATAGCTCACGAGCTAAGAATGTTTTCATATTTTTAAATTGTTGAAAAAAAATCAAAAGAAGAGTAGTATTTCATAATACGTCAAACTTATTTGCAATTTGGGTTTTAGTGTCCATAAATAAAGTTTTTTGGAACACAGTGATGCTCATTCATTTATCTATTGTCTGTGGCCTTTTTCTGCTACAATGGCTTAGCCAAATAGTTGAAATAGAGACCTTATGCCTGCAAAGCCTGAACTTTTGCTCTCTGGGGCTTGACAGAAAAAGTTTGCTTTAGAAAAAAAGCTATTCACACAAAGTTCATTGCTATGGATCTTTCCAGATATAATCCTGATTGTATGGGGAACAGTACCCTGGGAAGTATCCAGATCTCCAGAGTTTGATAGGTTTGCCAATAGAATACCAGGAATGCGCCATCTAGTGATGGGATTTTTCAATCACAGGAGAATTTCTAATTTTTTTCCAGATTATTTGCCCATGTAAAAATGGTGAGATACTTAAAGATTACACCTAGGGGCGCCTGGGTGGCTCAGTCGGTTAAACGTCCGACTTTGACTCGGGTCACCATCTCGCGGTCCATGAGTTCGAGCCCCGCGTCGGGCTCTGGGCTGATGGCTCGGAGCCTGGAGCCTGCTTCCGATTCTGTGTCTCCCTCTCTCTCTGCCCCTCCCCTGTTCATGCTCTGTCTCTCTTTGTCTCAAAAATAAATAAACGTTAAAAAAAATTAAAAAAAAGATTACACCTAGTGGATGTTAATAATGCCATGTGGTATTGACTATAATTTAAAACTAGAGTGAAAGTCAATGAAAACAGATTCCATAAATATATCCCTATGCATGTAGAAAAAACATAAATCTTGAACAACTATTTATTAGTCATGAGTGAATGGAAATGAGTGCACAATCACTTTTTTATTTATTTGAAAACAAACACCCAACACCCTGTAAAAGTGAACTAAGAAACCAGGTTATTTTTGTTAAGTGATTTATCATTAAAGGTAGAAAATAATAATTTTCTTGATATTTAGAATAATGCAGTTGTGAAGAATCCTCTCCCAAATTGTTCTTTTCTCAATGGTGGCTAGAAAGGAACCCTTTGTTCTGTTTTGTTACTGGTCATTTTAGATGTCTTTTCTTCAATGGAGTGGACTCTCGATGAAAGAACTTTACCACGTTGATCTATCTCTTCAACCACTGTCTTTACCAATGTGGTTTTGGATAACTCTAGAAATAAAACACCTGTGAATACACATATTCCAGCTAAAAGATTACATGATGAAGAATTCCAGTGGTGGTTGTAATATAATATAATATACTATGTACATTTTTGGTGAGAGAGCATGTGTAGATTTACAATAATAGTTTGTGTGGGTGGGGGGGGTGGGGATGCGCCTGGGTGGCTCAGTTGGTTAAACATCTGACTTTGGCTCAGGTCATGATCTCACGCTTCATGAGTTCAAGCCCCGGGTCAGACTCTGAGCACACAGCTCAGAGCCGGGAGCCTGCTTTGGATTCTGTATCTCCCTCTCTCTCTGTCCCTCCCCTGCTTGTTCTCTAAAATAAATACATAAATAAATAAAACATTAAAAAAAGATTTATAGTAATAGTTTGGGGTAATTTCATCCACTTAAAAATAATATTTCAAGTTCAGAGCACTTTAGTTAAAAGTACTTAAATGTAGACTGTTGCCATGGTAGATGATTGCCATTAACGCAAAAGTACTTGCTGCAGTAGAAAAAGAATTAGATTTAATTACCTTTGGGTGAACTCCCTGAGCCTCCTGATCCAAAGCGCTTTGATTTGGAGCATGAGCTACAAACAAAAAAAAAACACCCCAGTTTATTCTTTAATATTTCTGGTTATCATTTAAGAGATATTCATTGAGTCAAGTGGTGAACATGAACTCAGGTGAACTCTGTATGCCAAAAACAGATGTTAATTTTCCATAAAGGAAAATATTAAAATTTTTGTGTAGAGGAAGTGGAAATAGTTGTCTTCTAAGGGAAGGATATAAAATAAGTTTGTTTCCATTTGATTTTTTTAAACTCAAGAATTCAAAACCCAAGAATATATATATTCATATACATACATAATATATTTTATATGCACAAGTACAAATATGTACTTTTTAAAAACATGTAGATCCCTGGGGTTTGTATAGAGTAGTTTATTTCAGGGCAGCAGTGATATTAGGAACGGAGTGAAAGATGGGTAAAGCCTGGTGGGGAGTCATCTTGAAACCTATAATGATTAACATGGATACCAAATGGGGTTTTCTGAAGGGCTGACTGGGGTCCTCCAAGGCAAATAAGGAACGGGCTGTGCCTTACAGAAGGTGGAAGAGATAACCGCAGAAGCAAGAGGTGGGCACACTTCTCTGCAGTGGGAATGAAGAAGGAACGACTTGGAGGCATGAAACATGGATGGCCAGTCCATGGTTGTGGTTTAAAATAGGTAAAAACCAGGGGCGCCTGGGTGGCTCAGTTGGTTTAAGTGTCCGACTCTTGATTTCGGCTCAGATCATGATCTCGGGGTTCGTGAGTTCAAGCCTCACATCAGGCTCTGCACTGACAGCGCAGAGCCTGCTTGGGATTCTCTCTCTCTCCCTCTCTCTCTGCACCCCCCCCCCGCTCATGTGCATGCGTGCTCTCTCTTGCACTCTCTCTCAAAATAAATAAGTCAAAAAAAAAATTAAAAATAAGTAAAAACTGGATTTTCAAATGGTGTTACTTACTTCCCGTCTCCATCTATCAGGCGGCAGTAGGTCTCAATTTCCTTTTCTAGGTGGACCTTGATGTCGAGCAGCTGCTCGTACTCCAGTTTCTGGCCCTCCGTCTCGGTTCGGACCTGGTGCAGCTGTTCCTCCAGGGCCCCGATCTGAGCCTGGATCTGGGCGAGCTGCGTGCAGTAGTTCCCTTCGGTCTCGGTCAGGGAGCACTCCAGGGACTGTTTCTGAGGGCAGAAGATGTCAGAGCAAGGATGAAGCCACTTTGAGGTCTATGCAGATCAGAGCTGCTCAGCACACGGCAGCACAGAGTGAGGTTTGGAAATCTTGGGGCTCGTCACAACCAGACAGGAGGCACAGAGGCAGGGGAAGTCACAGGCATTTACGGGGTGGGGGCCCGGGCATGCTGGATGACCTGATATAAATGGCCCTGTCCCACGAGACTTTGGACTGTTCCCGTGGACTTTTGTGCTATTTAGGCAATATTTGCTATCGCGACCAACCTATATATTAATACTTTTTTTGGGAGATAGCACAAAAAGAAATCATATTGGAAATTTTATATTTTGAAATCACTTATTTATTTTGGGGTTGGTATTTGTTTTTCAATCTTATTCTGCTACTGTCTCCGGAGAGCTACTCTACCGCTGCCCCAAGGCCTTGTGTGCTGCTGTTTCTTTTTCTTCTCTGTCCCAGATTTGCTGTTGTTATTCAAAGGCCTTTTATGAAGCACTTGAGATTGAACGAATGCCTTAACAGGGGTGGGCTTTCAACACAAGGGATATATTTCATAACCCAGTACAGGTCATTATTTCCACACTACTCTTATGAACATTATACCTCCTCCTTTCCACTTGAATACCCTGTCATTTGTCTGGTCACATGATTTCTACTTCAATTAAAGTAATTTTCCTCTTTCCCTTATCGTAGGTAAGGACATCTGGGTGGTCATTACTTCTCCTGATATTAGTTATTATCTGAGTGTCCACCCCCATTTCCACTCTTTCATTTTCCTTTTCTTCTCCTGATCTTACATTGTTTAAAACAAAATGTAGTTATCAAGGGAAGGTGCAAGCCTCTGTCTCTTTCATTACATGTTCTGGGATAGTTGGGCCCAAGTATTTTCATATTATATATATATTTAATTAAAAATACTTTTATGTTTCCTTTTTTTTTTTTGCTATCATGGCATTATGGTAGTTTAAAAATTTTTTTGTATTGCTAAATATATCATCTATTCATTCTAAGGTAAAGAGGGAGTTATGAAATACTCGTCATCACAGGCAGACACGGATGGGGTTTGATGGGGCTAAGAACCACTGACCTAATGAATAGGCCAACTGGGGCATTACCTGGGTGGTGCTGGGCTCTCGGGGGCAAAGGAGTGGAGGGTGAACAGGATGGTATTGGGGAGGAGGAGGCACCGAGAGGCAAGACGTCAGCGAGGTGTGTGCTCTGTTGTTCGAAACTTTAGTTTCCCTGAGGATGTGTCCTCAGGTGGTATTCCTTTTTAAGGGTGCTAATTCTCTTCTTAGTCAGAGGGGACAGCATCCCTATCTTTACAGCCTTCCACTGTAAAGGTTAGCTCATAGATGACGAAGGAGGAACGGATGAACTTGCAGGTATGCATACTACAGGAAGCGTATGAAAAGTTTCTGTATTTAGACAACTCCCAACTTACATGTGATTTGTGTACTAAACTATAGACCATGCTTAGAATTCATCTTATGACAAAAGAATCTCAAGTATTGAAGTTATGTTCTATGCCACTATTATTCTATAATTCAGTTATGTTGTCTGTTAACATGGGCTTTTTTTTTTTTTTTTTTTTTTTTTTTTTTTTTTTTGGATTATCTCCTGAACCCAAACCGTGTCACTACTGGTTGCACAGAATGAACTACTTTCTAACATCATCTCCTACGTGAAAATGCTTCCATTTTGACCTGGGAACTCAGGACTTTATTTCTTTCAACATAGCTCAGAAACGAGAGGGAAGATTGTGCCCAGGGATACAGCAGCAAGAACACGTTGCCAAGAACGGGGATACAGGGTTCCAGTGGCAGGAAAGAAGGGAATAGGGAAGAGAAGAGGGCTCCAGGAGAGGCAGGGAGAGTGTCGGGAACCAGCCAGCAGTGGTGACCAGGGTCAGGAGAAGACGGGCGCCCTGGTTAAGTTAGTCTCCAATCTAAACAGCATATAGTAAGAGAGCACGGCACCTTTCTAGGGTGGCTAAGTCAAAACAGTCTTCCTAGGGGCACCTGGGTGGCTCAGTCGGTTAAGTGTCTGACTTCGGCTCAGATCACGATCTTATGGTTTGTGAGTTTGAGCCCTGCATTGGGCTCTCTGCTGCCAGCACAGAGCCCGCTTTGGATTCTCTGTCCCCCTCTTTCTCTGTCCCTCCCCCTGCTTACCACTCTCTCTCTCAAAAATAAATAACCATAAAAAAAATAAAAGAATAGTCTTCCTATAGTTTTGAGTCATCTTTACCTTCTCTGCTTACTGCCCTCATTCGTATTAACAGGGGTTCTTTCCTTTGGGTTACAGCCTGGTGTCCTCAGGGAGCGTGAACCCCTGATGAGGACAGGGGCGCTTGGGCCACATGTATGTGGTAATTCTCAAAATCAAGCTTTTCGGGTGCTGCCAGCTCACACCCCAGAAGGGAAGCCGGTTTTAGCCCTGGCTCGTCTCCATGGTAACCTGGGAACTAACTGGCAGGAGGTGCCAGGGTGGCTGAAAGCCCAGCTCTGTGAGGTGGGTGGGGAGGACGAGGCTGATGGGGCTCATCGGGATTCAGATGTGTACCTTTTCCTCTGCGGGGTGAAAAGCACCACGCAGCTTTCACTGGCTCCCTCAGTACCAGGAGATGCCGGTGACGCTAGGTCGGCCTTGTGTGGCCCCCTGACATTGGCCTGACACTTAGTTTTCAGGTAGGGCAATACTGCTGCCGCTGGCTCTGCGGGGCTTGAGGACTGGGCCGCGGGAAATGTGGGCTATTTTCACGAACCGGGCGCTGAGCCCCGGCCGGGAAGGAAACCCTCAGTGATCTCGGGGAGGAAGAAACGCTCTGTCTCTTTCTGCGGGTCTCAGTGTCTGTCTTCCCTGTTCTCGTCCGCTCTAAGTATTTGTAGGTAAAGCAAAGCTCTAACAGGGAAGGAGGGCTTCGGTTAGAGTGGCGACCTGCAGGCCGACCCGCGCCCTCGCCTACCATTGCCAGGAGCGACTGCAGCTCGATCTCCAGGGTCTGCAGGCTGCGCTTCATGTCGGTCAGCTCGCTCCTGGCCGAAGAGGCCGCGCCCGCGTGGTCGGAGATCTGCTGCTGCAGGGTGGCGCTCTGGAAGGCGGGGTGCAGAGGGGTGAGCGGGCCTGCGCCCACCGGGCACGGCTGGGGCGTGGGGGTGGGGGGCGGCCTCACCCTCTCGTTGAACCAGGCCTCCGCGTCCCTGCGGTTCTGCTCGGCCAGGTCTTCGTACTCGGCCCGCATGTTGTTCAGCAGGACCGTGAGGTCCACCCCGGGCGCCGCGTTCATCTCCACGTTCACGTTCCCGCCCGCCGCGCACTGCAGGGCCTGCATTTCCTGCAGGGAGACGATAACGTGACCCTGGGGCAGTTCATGTGCCGTGCGCGCGTGTGACTGCTTCTCCGCGCTCTAGGCTGTGGCCTGACTTCCCAGCCCTCCACCCTGTGACTCTTCCCTCTCCGCGTTTCTCTTTTCATGTTTCCTTTCCTTCCCCCCTCGCCCCCCCCCCCATTCTCCCCTTTGGGACAGCTAGATTTGGTGGTGTTTTAGGCGTGTCTGTCATAGAGTTGTTTTTTTTTTTTAATCTTTCATCCATTGTTTTGGGGACAATTTTGGGGAGATAACCATAAAAAAAAAGGCATATGAAGCTGCCTGGTGTAAGGTGTCAAATAATGGGTTTATTATTGTGCAGTGTTCAACATTAAAGCCAGGCTCACTAAGTGGAGAAAACAGTGACATCTTTTCCAAGTCAGAGAGGTCTTTAGTGAGGTTAACCTCAAGATAAGTTTTTATGAATGAAAGAAATAAATGTAGTGCAAACAAAAAGGGGTGTATTAGTGCAAAAGCAATGTACCAATTTCAGAAGGATAGAATATTCTGTCAGCCTAAAAAATGGAAGGGTACAGATCAAATGCTTAATATTTATTACCTCGGGAGACGAGATCAGAAGGGCAGAGAGTGGGAGAAAGAAAATTCTTTCTTTATAAATGCCTTGGCATTGTTTGAATTATTGTAATGAGTACGGAATACTGTTGTAATGCAATGCCACCCCCCAAAGTATTTAAAATGTACAGAATGGCGGTTTGACTAGAAGTAAAGCTTCTCCTACCTCTTCGTGGTTCTTCTTGAGGTACCTCAACTCTTCGCTCAGGGATTCGTACTGCAGCTCCTGGTCGGTCCTGCAGAGCGTCAGTTCGTCTAGGACTCTCCGCAGCCCGTTGATGTCGGCCTCTGTGTTTTGGTGAAGGGCGAGCTCATTTTCATACCTTGGGGGGCATTAAATGAATTTCAACACAAGTTAGACTCTCTCAAGAGGCAGGAAAATAGAACCTCAATTGCTTTAAGCTGAACACTGGAAATTGAATTGGGACTCAAAATGTTATAAAAGTGTACATGGAAAGCCTCCCTTCACTCCTCTCTTATCCAGTTCTGTGCAGGATAATCGGCATTTATTTAGTGACACAAATTCTGATAGCGGATCCCAATGAAATCAAAATTTGCCATTGTATTATTTTTATTTTTTTAAATTTTTTAAAATGTTTTTTTTAATTTTTGAGACAGAGGGAGACAGAGCGTGAGCGGGGAGGGGCAGAGAGAGAGGGAGACACAGAATCGGAAACAGGCTCCAGGCTCTGAGCTGTCAGCACAGAGCCCGACGCGGGGCTTGAACCCACGAACCGTGAGATCATGACCTGAGCCGAAGTCGGAGGCTCAACTGACTGAGCCACCCAGGCGCCCGCCATCTTATTATTTTTATTAAATTGTTTTTATGTTTATTTATTTTTGACACAGGGAGAGAGAGAGAGGCAGAGCGTGAGAGTGGAGGGGAAGAGAGAAAGGGAGACCCAGAATCCGAAGTAGGCTCCAAGCTCTGAGCTATCAGCACAGAGCCCAACGTGGGGCTGGAATTCATGAACAGCAAGATCATGACCTGAGCTGAAGTCGGACACTTAACTAACAACTCAGGTGCCCCCAAATATGCCATATTATTTATTTATTTTTAATTAAAAAATTTTTTTTTTGCCATTTTAGAATTTTATCTTAGTTACTCGTTTTCCTTACTTGATGCATATTTTATGAACATCTACTTTGTGCTTGGCTCTATTCCAGGCAGGCATAGAAATACAGTGATGTTTTGCCTCAAGAATGTAATAAATATGTATAAATTTTGAGCATAGCTGATTGTAATATTATAATGTGCTTTGTGCCATATGGTATTGTAGTATTATAACATGCATTACTTCCTATCATCTTTCAGAGTGTATACTCCTTGGGATAAAATTGAAATGTTATTTAGCATATTAAATAGACAGGAAACATTTTCTCGAGAGTGATTGTTTTCCATCACTTACTTTAGCCGGAAGTCATCCGCAGCCAGTCTGGCATTGTCAATATGCAGAATTACGTTAGCGTTAGCAATAGTGGAAGAGATAACCTAGAAGCCAAAAGGGAGGACAGGACAAATACGCCAGCTCTTACAATTTCTCAGCAAATAAAAAATTTGACACCATTAACTTTGCATAAAAATCCTATTTCCTTAAGTAACAGCCAAAATACTTAAAATTTTAATTAAAAAATTACAAATATGGTTATTTCTTCTCCTATACTCATATAACTTTTAGAATGTGACACTTATCAGTAAATATATTTCAAAACTGGCAACATTAAAAAAAATTTTTTTTTAACATTTATTTACTTCTGAGAGAAAGAGGGAGAGAGACAGAGGCATGAGTGGGGGAGAGGCAGAGAGAGGGAGGCACAGAATCCAAAGCAGGCTCCAGGCTCTGAGCTGTCAGCACAGAGCCCGACACGGGGCTGAAACTCACGGACCTGGAGATCATGACCTGAGCTGAAGTCGGACGCTTAACGGACTGAGTCACCCAGGCGCCCCACTAGTAACACTTTTTTAAATACATTTTTTTAAAAGTTTATTTATTTATTTTGAGAGAGAGAGGGAAGGTGAGCAGGAGAGAGAGAAAGAGAATCCCAGGCAGGCTCCACATTGTCAGCACTGAGTCTGACGTGGGGCTCAAACTCACAAATTGTGAGATCATGACCTGAGCTGAAATCAAGAGTCAGACACTTAACGGACTGAGCCACCCAAGCACCCCCCCGACAAACCTAGTAACATTTAAGTTACTTGAAAACCATGATTCAAAGTGCGTATTTTTGACTAATAGGAAGAATGTTTTATCAAAAGAAATAATAAATATGATATAAATGACAGATAACAGTTATGAGGCATTTCCTGTTCTAGTTTTATGTCTTTGGGTAGGCAATTCTTAGTTTTAAATACTTTGAGTATTTCCAAATTTGTAATTTCTCACCTTATTCTTAAGTTCTTCAATTATCTGGTAGTATCTGCTATAGTCATGATCAAGTCCACGGCAAGATCCAGGCCCGTATTTTTCATACCAGCCCTTGATTTTTCTCTCTAGTTCGGCATTTGCCTCCTCCAGAGCTCGCACGTTTCCCAGGTAGGATGCCAAGCGGTCGTTAAGATTCTGCATGGTCACCTTCTCATTCCCGGACAGAAGTCCCCCTTCACTTCCAGCAAAGCCAGCACAAGCAGCGTTTCCAAGGACACCACCAGCATGGTTCCCCCCAGGGACATTGCCCAGGCCCCCTCCCAAGGCACAGGAAAATCCACTTCCAGCCACAGAACTGCCACATGCATTGCTGCCTGCAAAGCCTAAGCCTCCACTGGATGGTCTGACAGACCCAGCTCCAGACCATAAGCAAATATGCCTCGACCCACTAGAAAATCGGAGAGACATGATAGAATGAGAAACGTTCACCCTGTCTGGAAGAAGATAGGTGTAATTTCAAAGGAGAACAGAATATCATGTGCTGATGGTGTCTTTGGGCTTTTATACACAATTGTTGGGGTGTTTCTATTTGAGTTATGCATGCCAGAAGAGAAATGGCATCATTCAGATTAGCAGGAAATTATGTATAATTAGGTAATTTTTTTTTTTTTGTAAATTGATGTCTAACATCCCTGGCTGTTGCTTTGGGGTATTTGTTATCTTAAATATAACAGGGTTAGTTCTATATTAAGTTCATTATTTTAACTTCTAATTTTGGGTGAGTAATCCTTTACTTTCATCTAGGCCCTAGGAATATACTGTCATTATCTGGCACCAGATATCGTAAAGTTTTAAAAGTTAAGTAAGATTGTGATAGGGTACCATCAGCTATAGTAGGGTCTTAATTACCAGGGAGGTATATAAAGAGGTATTCAAAGGTATATAAAGAGGTATATATTAAGTAAAGGAACACATATTTCATCCCACCATAGCAAAAAAAAAAAAATTGTGTTATTAAAAATAATATGATCCTTGTAACTTCTCTGGTCTTACCATGATTATAACACCTATTTATTACCTTGAACAATGACATAAATATTGACTGATTCCTTTATTTAATGCATAAATAGCTACTATATCTGGTGTTCAAAGCTGAATATAGAAATGAAGACATAATGGGAAGTAAATGCAGAGGTGTATGGGCACAGTCTTTAAGAAATGTATGGTCAGGATCAGGCAGAAGCTGGATTGTGTTTAACCTTCTGCGTCAAAGAGTTTGGAATGACTGGGGGTGTGGGGGGGGGGGGGGGGGGGGGGGGGGAGTGCGAGCGGGTCCAGCTTGAGAGGGCAGGAGAGATGAGCAAGAAGTGACCTGAGAAGCCTCCTCTTGAGGCGGTGGCCAGGAAGCTGGGGGTGAAGAAGGTGGAGAGGATAGGAAAAGGAGGGGTAGAAGGGATTTGGTTGGGCTGGACTGGTTCCAGGTTCTGTGGTGAAGACAGGTATAGAATTGTTTTGCCCCAGGACAGTTCTGTCTTCTGGAACTGTGTTGGCATAAGCGGTCTGAAGCCTGGTCATCTGGCACTGTGGCTGCCATTGGCCTGGCATTTAAATGTATTTTCTGGGCAAAGTTGTGGGATTTGTTTCGAGCTGCAAAAGGCCTTAGATATTACCTAATTCAGCCCCTTTGTCAGATGAGGCCACTGAGACCCACAAATGTTAAACAATTTGTTCAGAGTCACCAGGCACATGCCAGGTGAAGGCTTGGCGCATGTTCTAGAAAGCCTTGAGATTCTGGCACCATGAGCGTATTTTATTTTACCTAGTTATTTATTTTAATTTGCTTAATGTTCATTTTTGAGAGAGAGAGGAGGGGAGAGAGTGCATGTGCACGAGCCGGGGAGGGGCAGAGAGAGAGAGAGAGGGGGACAGAGGATCCAAAGCGGGCTCTGCACTGACAGCAGCAAGGCCTGATGCTGGGCTTGAACTCATGAACCGCAAGATCATGACCTGAGCCGAAGCTGGATGCCTAACCAATTGAGCCACCCAGGTGCCCCTTATTGATTGATTTATTTTTAAAATATTTATTTGTTTATTTTGAGAGAGAGAGAGAGAGAGAGAGGGAGAGAGAACATGCATACATGAGCAGGGAAGGGGCAGAGAGAGAGAGGGAGAGAGAGAATCCCAAGCAGGCTCCCCAGTGTCAGTGCAGAGACGGGCATGGGGCTCTATCTCACTAACTGTGAGATCATGTGACCTGAGCTGAACTCAAGAGTCAAATGCGTAGCTGACTGAGGTACCCAGGTGCCCCATCATAAGTGTATTTTAGATACAAACAATTTCTCTAAATTATCTATGCCCATGCAAATACTTATTTTATATATTGCCATCGATAGTCTTATCATGTTGTATTGTCAAATTATTCTTTTGAGTTATTGAATTATTGGAATTAAAATATTAAAGAATTAGAATATCAAAACATGAAGAATTGAAAATCTCTTCAGTGCCTAATTATTAACTGTAAATAATAATTAGACAAATTATTGGTGTAATGTGTATGTATCCTGCAGATGTAAAAAAAAATTCCAAAGGACATTTTGTGACAAAAGAAGGAAAGAAGCTATTTTTTAAAAAAAAGCTTAAGTTGAAGGGTGCCTGGGTGGCTCAGTCGGTTAAGCGTCTGACTTCGGCTCAGGTCGTAATCTCACGGTTTGTGTGTTGGAGCCCCGCATCCGGCTCAGAGCCTGGAATCTGCTTCAGATTCTGTGTCTCCCTCTCTCTCTGTCCCTCTCCCGCTCATGCTGTGTTTATCTCTCTCTCTTTCTCTCTCTCAAAAATAAACGTTAGAAAAAAACTTTTTTAAGCTTAAGTGGAAATAACTCGTTTCCTTGGCGATCCCAAATTGTTCACCGCAATTGTCCCTGCCCTTCTATTTCCACCAGGGGGCAGCGCTCACCTGCAAATGGATGTAGTTCGGAGCAGAAGCACCACTTCAGCCTGGGTCTCACATGCCTGCAGCTGGAAACTATTAGACCCCTGGTATGAAGCAACCTCAGCGTTTATCTTCTCAAAGTTCCAGAGAACGATGAGTATAAAGACAAGATTTCCTTACATTTATATGGTGCTTTACAGCTTCCAGAGGGATTTCTTGTACATGATCTCATTTGATCCTTATAATGAATCTGGGAATTAAGAAAAGTGGTCTCCTTCCTCTGGTTTAAAGATGAGGAAACTGAGGACAGAGACTGTTCAAGGATACACAGCATGAAACATGGTGAGTCAGGTCAGAATGGGTCTTGTGATTCAGTGTGGTGGTCCTTTCATTAAATAGTTGTCCTAAAGTCAGACGAAAAATAACTCAGACGATGCCCAGATCTCTCTTTAAATGGAAAACATAAGCTGATTTCTTACAAAATTGTTTCAAGAATTTCTAGTTAATAGTAAAATGAAACTTCTGACTGTAGTCATGCTGCCTATCGGATGTCATTCAGTTATGTTGTTGTTCATTCAAGAAGGATTTAATGAGCACCTACAATGTACAGGGCACTATATCGGTAGCAGGGCATCCAGAAGGAAGACAGTAAGTGCCTCCCAAGCTTTATTGTGAAGAATGCTGCTGTGAACATGGCACACACAAATATCTCTTCAAGACCTTAATAGCAATTCTTTAGACTTTAGACCCGGAAGTGAAATTGCTGGATCATACGGTAATTTTGTTTTTAATGTTTTGAGGAGTCATCGTTCTGGTTTCTGCAGCCCCTGTCCCATTTTTCATTTCCATCAGGAGGGCACAAAGGTTCCAGTTTCTCCACAACCTTGCCAACACTTGCTATTTTCTATTTTATTTTTTAAGTAGGCTCCAAGCCCAGTGCGGGGCTTTAACTCATGTCGCTGAGATCAAGAGTCAGATGCTTAACTGACTGAGCCACCCAGGTGCCCCCCTCCCTTTTCTTGATGGTAGCTTTCCTAATGGGTATGAAATGGTATCTCATGGTAGTTTTGATTTGCATTTTTCTAATGATTAGTGATGTTGGGCATCTTTTTATGTGTTTACTGGGCATACCCCATTTGCTTTTGTCTTTACAACTGCTTTCAATCTACAGAGATGCATTTTGGTGCCCTTTGGTTTTCTAAAGATTTATTTGTTTATTTATTTAAGTAATCTCTACACCCATCGTGGGACTTGGACTCATGACCCTGAGATCAAGAGGTGCATGCTCTACCAACTGAGCCAGCCAGGCGCCCCTGGTGCCATTTTGTTTTCTAGTCTTCCCCTCAAATTTCTTACTTTAGGAAACCTTACAGAGGCTCTATAGATCAAAACTTTAATGAGAGTTCCTCTTCCAAAAAGGTCATTAGCTTTGTCCTGGCTCTGCTAGCCTGTGAACCTGTATATTCACGCTTTTCAAGCATTTCTCCTGAGATAACATATTCTGAGTAGGAAAGGTTAATCAGAAGCCTGGTATGTGATTTTTTCTTGGCTAAGATCCTGAAGGACAAAGCTATTTTCAGAACACTATTCAAATTCTTCCCCCAGGTAATGCCCAATATTTGTACTAATTCACAATTATTCTCTTTCTAACTGCTGCTAGGCTGCAAAGATCTCTTATGCAGTGTTGGGGTTATGAGATGATGTTTGTGTTTTTATTTAGAGACACTGAAAATCAATGTGACAACTCAAAGTGTTCTTCCTCCTTTGGCATGGCTTTCTGTGGGACAACCTGGTTCAAAAAGTATCCGTAAGAAATATCCTTGATACCTGGTTTCCAGGCTGGACTTATTTTTGTTGTGATAACTCGTTTCTCTTTGTCATTCAAAGACACAGCATGGGTCATTTGCATCATGATCAGGATGACCACAGCTGCAGCTTTTAGGGATGGTCAGCTATCTCAAACCTTTGGGACAATCATCTGGTCCTTCCTACTTACCTTCACAAACCTCTTGCTCTGTTTTATTGGACCTCAGGTTCACAGAACTAGATTAGTCCTACTCCTTTGTGACACACTCTTACCACTGTTCCTACTGTCTGGATTTTTGTTTTGCAGCCCTACGACAGCAACCTGACCTTGATCTCTACCCCGTGGCAGACCACATTAATGATCGCCTACTCTAGTAACAATTTATTGTGATGCTCATGCCCATTTTTGGAGAAAACTATTTAGCCAATAAGCATATTTCTCTGAGGATGAACAGAATGCTGTTTTGTTTTTTGCTTAATAAAATCCTCATTTATTTGGACTTATCTAATACATACTAGAAGCATGCATTATAAACATTTATACTCTTTATATACGTATATATATACGTTTATATACTCTTTATATAAACAAAGGATAAAAGCAGATATATTGAAGAAACAGGATTAAAAATTTACAGCAGTTACTAAATTTCAGAAGTGTCTTTTTCAGTTGTTTTGGTAATATTTTGAAAATATTTTTCAAAATGTACAACATAGCAACTTGACCACTCAGTACTTATGCTGTGCTCACCACAAGTGTAGTAGCTCCCATCTGTCACCATGCCAGCCGTTACAATACCACTGACTATATTCCCTATGCTATACCTTTCATCCCTCTGATTTATTCATTCCACAACTGGAAGCCTGTATCTCCTATTCCCCTTCATTCAGTTTACACATCTCACCACTACCCTCCCCTCTGGCAACGATCAGTTTGTTCTCTGTATTTGTGGGTCTGTTTCTATTTTTGTTTGTTCATTTGTTTTGCTTTTTGGATTCCACATGTAAGTGAAATCATATGGTATTTCTGTCTAGCTTATTTCACTTAGCATAATATCCTCTAGGTCCATCAGTGCTGTTGCAAATAGCAAGATATCTCATCCTTTTTTATGGCTGAGTAATATTCCATTACATATAA